GGCTCCTTCTTCATCCCTGAGGCAATATGTTCCTCCTAAACATTGGTACCAACCTACAGTACTGTTTCCCTCACTTCCATTACTGACACTGTCATGCTTCTGGGATATTATCCAAGCACAGAACAGTTAAAAAAAAACTACAAAAAATATAATCTGAAGGCCAGTGCTTTGCACTCAAAACATGTCCAACTTAAAAAAATACTTGGAAAAGAATACATATGAAGTAGAGGTACGCATGGCAGTTTCACGTGCGGGGAATAACCAGATGCAATACTGCACCTATGCAGGAAGGATAAGTTATAAAATATCTAAAAGGCTTAACAGATTTTTCTGTTTTCAATAATAATACTGTATTTATTCAAATAACCTCTAACAATTTTATTTTTTATCAAATAACAGGTTCACATTACATTCAATGAACAAAGTGCTGTATGTATTTATTACCACATTCTGTTTTTTAATATCGATTTCAATCAAATAATAAATTTTATTTTCATATTTCATTCTCTTTTTTTTTTCCACTTAGGAAATGATAAAAATTTGGGATGCGTTATATTTGAGGGTCAGTGGTATCTGGATAAATACAGTAACTGGAATTTGGAGTATGTATTATATAAAAATGAATATTTTATTGAAGTCCTTTGAAATTTAATACTACTGCAATTCACATTCAAACAGAAACTATCACAACTGTGACAAGAGTTGGTATCACAGCTTCCTTATAAACTTTTTATAAGCTACACAGAACATAAATCAAATCTTGTATCATAGTTTTTGTGAAAACTTCCCAGTACAAATGACGTACATCTACGACTACATACCACTAATGCTCATTATAGTACCCTACTTCCGTAAGCATTCATGGTATTATAACCACTGCAGCAATCATAATCTGGAGATGGTGAGGGGTTACCTCTAGGTATGTCTTAGGCTATAACCAATGCGGGGCATTCACCAAACAATTATAACGTCACAGCCAAAACAATAATTAAAATGGCTAGGACTATTAACAGGCAGATTATGATGAGGATTTTTTTCTGTGAACAAAAAGAAAAAAGGAAAACTTAAAATCATGACACATAAAGAAAGACAAATTAAGAGACAGTTTACACGGCATTAAATAACTAATGCTCATATTTGAAAATTAATTACAGAATAAATTTAATTAATATCTGAAAATTGACAACTAAGTATAGAACAATTTAAAATGTAATATTTAACAAAAATTCAAAATTGCTTCACATAAAGAATTCCTTTATATATATGTGTGAAAATATAATATTCTGTCAGTATTTTAATGAAAATTTGTCTTTACTATGACAAAAAAAGTTATACTTACAGTATAAGAATATACACAGAAAAAGAAGTTAAAGCCTGTTTTGTTAAAAAAAGCAATATTTGTTAGCAATGTGAAACTAAACTTTAAAAGCGCAGGATAAAAAGTTGGGAGATGTAATACTGAAACAGAAAATAATTTGTGAGCAAAAGAATGTTCAGACACTTACAAACAGCAACAGCAATACTGCACATGCACATATTAATGGAGACCACAAAAAAAAAATACAAGCAATGAAAATAAATTCATGCCATGGAATGTTATTCTCTCTCCTATTCTAGTACATTTTATAATGTGTCACCACAGTACTGAAACAAAATAGTTCTTATTACAGCAGACTCCTGATTATCTAAATTGGTTGGAATATGTTTTCCCAGATAATTAAAACCCCAGAGAATCCATAAAAATTAAAGAAAACATGCACATGTAAAAAAAAAGTTTATTTACAGATATACACTATGCAAATTTGTAAGGATTTATTAACAGAAAGAATTATATAAAAAAAATTAATACAGTACATCCTAATTGGTTTTTAAAAAAGGTTTCCAATGGTTGGTAATAACATTCCACTGTCGTAAACTTCAGGTTTTAGCAACAACTGATTTACGTTAATACGGTAAATAATGTCAATGTTGTATTTATTTATTTCTTTTTAAACATTCTAACTTTTACAACAGATTTTCTAAATTAATTTTTAGTTTTCATTTAAATAAGCTAGAGTGTAGTTAATCTGTAACCCACTTAAACCACCCTCGGATAATCAGGAGCCTACCGTTTGCACATATGTTATTTACCACATATTTCCACAGCAAAAGTAACTTCTAGGTGTCTATTAAAAATGTTATTTATTACTGTGACATCATCACTGATGACAATGTGGATTCTTTCTCAAGATGAATCTACTGCACATTAATACAGCGGCTGTTACAATTACAATTATCCTTGTATACTGTAATGGAAAACACCGAAATAACTCCACTGGAAATATTTATCCTTCTATTAGTTTTTCTTTTTGTCTCCCAGTCAATCATGTATCACACACAACCACTTTGCAAGCGTCTAACACAGCACTGAGCTGCTACTAATCATATAACTAAATGTATGACCGTTCACTGCTCCCCACTAGTCAGGTATCTACTGCTCACACATTTCAACACTGGAACCACAGAATACACAATGCATTGCTTCAACACTCAACACTCACCGTCTCACTTGTAATAACTTCTTGTTTGACTTGAATTCAAACTCTGACAAAAACAGTGCCAGAACTCAAAGTTGGTTCTGGAACTGTCCACCAGTTTCTCTGACACAGTAGAACTTATGCTTCCTGGCGACACAAATTAGAAGCCGGACAGAAGAAACAAGGACGTGCCACCAAGGGTGGCCCATACGCTAGGGGGATGATAAAATGGAGACGTAACACCAGGCCAGCTGTCGGTTGCAGCAGGGGAGGGGGTCTTGCGACAATATGCTTATCAACGTGAATATTACATTAAAACGGTTTATAGAAATGGGCTACTCTGTTCATAATTAACACCTAACAAACAAAACTGTTTATATAAATGGGCCACATTTAGAGAAATAAATTGTTTTCTCAGGCTCCAGGGCAACAGAATATTTCATTCTTGTATCTGGTTTTGAAACTGACATAATATAAAAACAATGAATGGGCATGGATTCATTAGAAGTCACAAAATAAAATAATGCCATGGAGGCAACTGAGAAAAGAGGAGTTATAGCTTCTATTCATACTTGACCTCCGAACTAGATGGGGCTGAGTGGTCAGCATCATGTCCTAGATGTGCTTTACCCCTGGGAAAGGGCCCATGGTACCTACTGGATAGAAGGAAGCACATTGGGCCCCAGGGCCAGTCTGAATGCATAGGTTAGAAGAAAAACCCTTTACCCTTGGTGATGATCCTACCCTGATCATCCAATCTGTAGTCAGACACTACTGACTGTGTTACCCTTGCTCAAAATAATGTTGCATTTTCCTTGAATAATAATAAATGTGGTCCCATGTCCTTGTTTGTAAATCCAGAGGGAGATATTTATTCTGCAAGTTCTGAAAAGCAATATGCACGTAATGCCTTTCTTCTTCTATGTTACTACTACAAAGGAAAAAAAGGTGATACAGTCAGTGAACAGATAAACCTCACGTTAATATCAGTACACATTAGAGATGTTCAATGACTTTCTAAACTAATAATCTCTAGCAATGTATGTGCTCTAAAATGCAGATAACATGCCCAACATGTTGACAGCAGAATGGGTTTCCACCACACAAAATGAGGCTACTAATAAAGAATTAATTGACATTACGACAAAATACACTAACAATCTAAAGTATATTTGAATTCCAAACTTCTACTATTTCAACATAAATCATGCCATTACGTGAACTACTCATTCTACTTTTTCATTTATGCTATTTGATATAAATTTTCTTTGTAATTCTGTACAGATTAATGACTCTTTGAACGTTCATCTTAATAAAATTCAGTTGCCTTCAGTGCTATTTTAGAGAATTATAAATCTTAACCCTTTGCCAGATCACATAAATCTACTTTATCCTGTAGCTATCTGACTAACTCATTTAAATGTTCTTTGCACATAACGTTACAGAACATTAAGTACAGCTGCACTTCCTACTATGCTGGACATGGAAAAGCGTTAAGATAGCAATGTCACATCTGAAGCTACTGGTCAATGACTGTGATCCCATAGTTACAATAAGTCATGCAATACTGACACCGTTTTATCACCACCATCTTCACACATTACCTTGCGAGCCTTGTGTCGGTAGTCTTCAGCTATAATGAGATTTCCACGAGCAGCTACTACAGCATCCCCCGATGATGCTACGTGGTATTCGATCCTGTCAACCAACTCACCCTGGGCAATGCTCCAAGAGCAGAGCCAGTATATGGGCGACGTTAGCGACACGAGATGACGAGAGAGGATTAAAAGGATTGGAAAGTGAAGTTATGTCATAATAAGGAGAAAAGTGGGAGTCTCAAAGTTATGGGTGGTAACGACGTTATAACATAAATAGCAAGTGTGTTAGAAAGTGCAACCACCAAAATTAAGACATTCCAAAGTCACAAACATTGACACCAGTAAATCACGCAAAATCCACACATCAATATCAAAATACAAACACCACATATGTATACAAGAGCAGGCACACAAGTTGGAAGAATTTAAGGTACATAGTTTATATCAGTTACAAGACAGATTAAAATTATAAACCCATGTTACAACATAATCAGCACAGAAAATGACAAAGGCACCAACACCATCACAGACACGGTGTTACAAAGAAAAGTTACGACAGAGCAAAAGTGAATGCATAGTGTTTAGGAGATAAAATGTTAAAATAGTCGCACCACCAAAAGCCACGAGGTTGTTTGGTGCAATCAGGTATGAGTTAAGAGGATAAATTAAATATATGGATGTTACAAAGAAAAATCATTGTGAGGAATACATTAAGAGAAAAGGCCAATAGTGGAAGCAGCAAGAGAGGAAAATAATTAGAGGATATTGGTTTATTGGTATCAGGAATATAATAAAAAAAAATGATGGGGGGGAAAAAGAATAAATATGATTAGCTATGTACACTCAGGTGCACAAAAATCTAAGATTACTTAGTAGTTTGACTTACCCGCCTAGCTTTACTCTGATACTTGAGTGCCTTCTTGGTATCTTGTGTGGCGGTCTGGACATAGTCCACTGCATGTTCTACGTGATACTCGATACGATCTATCATTTCCCCCTACAATGGACAGACCCAGCAAAAAAAGAGAGAGAGAACAAAACGGGACAAACCCTTACTGTTAGTTAGAAGAAGAGGAATTAGAACAGTTCATATGCACCCATGCTTAAAAAGAAAGCCAAGTATCATGCAATATTACCATACGACTGTGTTCAGACTGACATGAAAGCCTTAAAAGAAAAGTAAGTCTGAATGTATTAAAACAACAGTTCACAAATATAAAGTTGCAGTAAATCAGTGGTAAAGAATACACACACTGTAAAAGTAAAAAATTAAGAAATGAGATTTTCTTTTTGATGTGAGAAAGAAAAGTTTTTGACAGTAAATACAAGTAGTTTTGCAGTATACTTATAGAGCTTACTACAGCATAAAAGTACTTCACCACCTACACATCAATATTGTACGATGAAAGACAAATTACATGAGCTAAAAGAAATAATGTAAAGTTATTATATGAGTATAGGACGTATACAAAAGCAGAGTATAAAATTAAATGGTTAGGACATTCCAATAAATGAAAAAGGTGTGTAGAACTAACAACTGACACAGATTTCAAGGCTACAATGTACTAGGAACCTGAAACCAAAGCAATATCTGTATAGGGGAGAATTAAATTAGCACCTCTTATATACAAAGTAAACTCTTGTCACAAAAGAAAAAGCCTCTTAAATTGAAACATGGAAAGTCTAAACTAACCATGAACAGTCTGCCACGCCATAGCGCAGGCAGATAGTGGTCAGCTTCATACTGTGAAAGCCTGGATTCACGCCCAGGTCAGTCCACGTGTGATTTATGGTGGACAAAGTGGCACTGGGGCAGATTTATCTGAGTCTTTCAGTTTTCCGCTGCTAATATCATTCCACTGCTGCTCCATATTCAGTCGCGCATCATATGGGTGGTGGGCAATGGGCCTGTTAGTGGCCCAGTTCCACAGAAACACAGTCACACCCCATCACAACGAGAAACTCACGATATTTACCGCTGAGTTATTGATGACAAGAAAACTTCACATTCAATCCATACCATACACAAATATATGGTATATGTTCTGTATACATCTTTTAAATTTCTTAAACCAGACGCAGAAGTGTAACAATTAAGCTAGAACTCTTGGGATTCCGTCAGAAGAACTGTGCACTGAGATTTCTTTACGAACAGACATACATATTGTCTCTCAAATCTACAAGTTGATTTTCTGAGATTTATTTACGAACAGACATACACATTGTCTCTCAAATCTACAAGTTGATTTTAACTAGATTCTATTATCAAAATGGAACAACTTTTACAATCATAAGCTACATTCAAAAGATGGCCTTATATGCAGTCCCACGTTCAGCAAAAGAATTTCAGTAACTTTTGTCATGCAAGAATATTAATTGCCTTTAAAAACTGATGCAGTATGAAGTCAAGATGTTAATGTACTCACGCAAGAAAACATTAGTCTGCACTTTTTAAAGTCCTGTTATGAATATACTACACACTAACTAGAAGAATTTGAAATTAACTCTATATCAAACCAAATAGAATTTGCACAACTTTAGTTTATGAGTGTATGTGAGCATAACTCCTCACAAAATTGTACTCATTATGCAAAGAAAAACGTCACACAAAAGACAACAGGAAAAATAAATATAATGAACATGCAAATTTTTCATAATCCTAAGCATTGCCTAAAAGTAAAATCTAAATGGCTCTCCTTCGCTCTGTGTACTAGAACATATTACGGCTCCCTTAATGTACAAAGCCCCAAGATTAAATCACAGCAAGTTGGATGTTAGCGATTCAATCTGAAACAACATTTAAGGCATCTTTCAAATGTAGGTCCTGTTTTGCTGGGCCACTTAAGACAAATTTAAGACCTTCCTAAACACATCTTTTTACACCTGATCTTATAGATGCATTGTGTGGACTGTGCTTTGAAGTATTCCTCGATGTGAGTGTCTGAACAGTAGTCACAATACCAACAGAAACCGAATGTTATGCATATTAATGATGATTTGTTTTCATAATCCGAGGAAACAGGTAATATAAGAGGTGTCTCTACATTCTCCATTATACACATATATCATATTCAAAGCGTAGAAATGGATTTATAACTCAAATGTCTAGTGACCTATGAACGCGTCAGATCAACTTGCATTATTTTTAAAAAAAGAAAGAAAAAACTTTGTATAAATATCTAATAAAAACCCTTCAAGCATCAGAGTATGACATAACAAAAATTCAAAATACATATATTTTCTACAAATCCTAACTTCACTGGAATTGGATACGGAAAATAAAAGAAAAAAAAATACAACTACCTTATAAACTTATTTTACGTAACGTTCTGTGATAAATGAGCTACGGTGATAAATACCAACTAGGGACTTGATGTGTATAAACAAAAATTATACTAAATCAGACAAAAATATTCTACACGTGAATTCACATTATTTTATGTTGTTTAAAAACAGCAACCAGCTTGAGTTTAATTTTTTAATATTTTCCGAATACCTGACCAGAAATAGCTAAGCTATCCTAGAGATCATACACCTTAGTCAGAAATGTAACACTGCGTGCAGTTCTATGGCCTATAAATAAGTGGCTGCCATCTTGATTCATACACAAACATATGTCTAGCAATTGTCATCATACCGTTAGCACTGATCATATTACAATATAATATAAAATTTGAAGCCTTCACATTGACTGAATGAAATAAAGTCATCTAGATTGATAAGAATAAAATTAATATTATATTATCAGTTCAACTACTAACCCCAAACTCACATGGCTGAAAGCTCAAGAAGGCTTCATTAATTATACATGATGTCTAAACATCATGTTGCCGTATCTTTTTTTACTTTCAAAAAATATAATCCAGGTAAAACCTAAAGGTAGTTTAAACACACTTTTTAATATTTAAAATATTGTGAAAATGATGAGTCAGAAATTTTAAATTACACCTTTTCATGTGTGATCACACTGTATTTTCTGAACTAAAGCTGGAGTTTGAGGACTATTATTTCTACAGAAACTCAAAGCAAAAACTGGACTTAAAGCTGGAGTTTGAGGACTATAATTCCTACAGAAACTCAAAGCAAAAACTGGACAGCTCCTCTTACCTGGTTTTCTACTAGCATTGCCATATCCATGAACATGTCGTGTAATTCCCGAATGGAATTTTCTAATTTAATTATATCAGCATGTCTTGCTTCGATATCTGCTAGCGTCTGTCTCGCTTGTTGCGTTTCCATTATTATCTGCAACCACAATGTCAATATTAAGGCTACATAAATTAAACCCAAAAAACAATAATTACTGGGGTAAAATATGCATATTTGTACATTTTGCTACAAACACTGAGAAGTCTAAAATGGCCAATAATTTCGTCAGATAGTATATTTAAACATATAACACTTCGCAGTCCATTGCTGCATGGTAACAAGCACATCAATTTGTGTCAGGTAACAAGATTTTAAAAATCAGTATCTACCGTATTTTTGTATTAACAAAATTAATGACATGTTGAGCTCACCCCTTGCGTGAATACTGCTGGGTTACCTTGCTCTAGCATTTCTTCTAATTCTTCATTGGTTGTCGTTCTACCAGCTGAAAACACAAAAGGGGCCTTTTTATGTAAAATGTTAATATATACCATTAAATATAACTTACTCCATGTGTGATATTCTTCACAACTAGAACTCTAAGCTTTGGGACCACACGGCAGATGTCCACATAAGTAATTTTCATTTATGGGGCTGGTTTTATATCAACCATTTCTAGAATAAAAAAATTGTACTATGTCACACACAATGGTAACATAAATTACACACACGTTTAAGGAAATTTTTAATTTGTCCTGTGTTTAGATGTTTATAAATTGTTTTATGAGTTGAATTCTTTATTTTACAGTAACAAAAAAAGGCGTAAAATGCAGTCATATTCCGTTCATGGTGTTTATGCTGATAAGTGACAGTGTGTTTCACCAATCTGCAGGTAATCACAGACGCATTGGTTATCTATAAAAACTCAGAACTCCAATTAGTAATACCTATTTCTTCAATTAAGCACAGCTGTGATTAATATACTGGCCACTGGAAAACACTACAATCATCCTGATGAAATGAAAATGAAAAGATTTAGTTCTCAACATTTTAAATTAATGACAGCATCTACAGTGAACAGCTGCTGAAGTAGTTCCAAATGTTGTCCATAAAATGGCTTTAAAATAAATACTGATAATCATCGTGAACTATACTAGAACACGGAGTAGCCCAACAGATTTCTTTAAGTATCTATATTTCAAACCGAACAGATTTCTTTAAGTATCTATATTTCATGCTTATATTCTTAACAGCATGACAGAAAAGTATTTTAACATTGGAAATAACTGGACTAAATTTAAAAAAATCTAAAAGTTAAACTTAAGGGTTATCACTTCGTTGTACCAGTAGCAAAACGAATGGAATATTGTACTTACTAATCTCAAGTTGCCTCTGTATCCGCCCCTTACATCGCTCCCTATAATCGGTCTGTGTCCGATTATACTCGGTCATCACCTCAACAAATTTCCGTGACAACGTAGAATGTTGTGTTTTCCGTATCCTCAGATCAGCCGAGGATTTATTTGATTGTTCCTCTTGTTCTACGGCTTGTTCTATGACTGTAACCAAGACACACGACAAAATTAATAAAACTACATGAGTGAAATCTTATGACTTAAACATTTCTAATACAAACACCTCTGAAATAAAATAAAACTCAAAGATGGTTGTTTACTGGGTTGTTGCACTGTGCAGTCTGGAAGAAGTTTACTGGTGCCTCAAAAGGTTGTTCCTGTCCTTAAAATTTCATGCCTGAAATTTAATGCATAACTTCATCTTTTAGGGACAGGCCATATCAAATTTTGAAAATGTCCCAATTTTTCAGTAAATATCCCAGAAAGCTGAACATCGACCTAGTCATTTTCAAATAAAGCATACATTTGCAAGCTCTTTAATGTTGTTTCATGCATGTCAATTTGGATCCGAGACTTGACTACATTCAACGCGATTTTATTAAGAAAGTGGTAATTTAAAACGTACCCTTTAATTTGGCACGGACTTTGTTGGCAGTTTTTTTAATATCAGCCATTAAATCCTCCAACTCCTGTTTGACCTCTGAAACAAACAGATACAATAATTAAACATAAAAATATCACATAATCAATGTACGAACAACACATTCTAATGATCTGCACTGCTTCTATTTAAAAGGCACGCAGATGAAAAATGAATATGAAATTTTAGTTGATGTTTCCCCACACAACAGGCAATTCTCATATTCGAATCTGACACAGCTTCAAACATGAATTATCACAGGTGACCAATGACAGAAATGATGAATTTGGTAAACGAGAAAGAAGAAACAAGCAATTATCTTCAGCACAACTGTATCTACTGCTGTATTCATTTGTCCAAACAGATACAAAACTAGGATCTGAAAAGAGGAAAGTACATTATCTAGAATATAAAATAAGCAAACAAACTATTAACACTATAAAAAAGACACTAGTGTCATATGCGTTTAAACCTCAAGAGGTCATCATCAGTGGCAACAAGGAAATTAATTCATTTAACTATTATCACTGACACGTCGTACAAAAAAAGAGCTTCAGAAGTGTACCAGATGTCGCTCTTCACAGTCACCATCTAACAGTTCTGTCTTCCCACGTGTGTGTGTGATGGCGGTTTGGAAAGGTCTGAGGCCAATCGGATCTGCGGATGAAGACTGGTGAGGGTAGACAGAGTTATCGACACAGGCAGTCCTGTCCACAGAAGTTCGTGCAGAGGGGTGACTTTGACTAGCGCCATCTGGTGCACATCTGATGTTTTGCTTGTGAACAAAGTTTCAGTAATAATGCGGTAGGCAATTTGACGCATAACCGTGCAGTGAGTGTACTGCTGTTACTTATGATATTTTTTTTTTCAAATTTCATTTTGAACGGGATTGGCCATGCGTTACAAAAGTCTGCACAATCAAACTAAAGCTGTTAAAGAAGGGATTTAAAAAGGTTTCTGATTAGTGTGGTCGTTAGTGGTTTCAGATTCAAGTCAAAGAGACTAAAAAATAATTCCTTACCGCACAAATTCCCTTAATGCATATCGTACACATGCAGATGCATTCTCAAAAATCCAGCGTTAAGAAAACTTCCATCACGTCATAGAGGAAGTCCATAATGAAAACATGTATTATAACATAAGTAATGTATCTGTTATCACAAACTATTATGAAAGATACAACAGATAATTTTATGAAATAGTCTAATTTGTAGGAAGGGTGTCGTTACAACTTGGCATCACATCGACATTAAGAATTTTGCCCAGTTTCAACAGCGCTCTCATTTCTCATGAGATGATGCTTCCGAGAAATGTAATATTCTGAGAGAAATAGATGAAGAATCATAAAGATAAAAATTACATCTTCATCCCCACCCAAGTGCCTTGCAAACTCAATGAAGTCCTGTCTGTGGGTGGAAGCCGTGGAACCGACGTAAGGGGAGTGGGGGGGGTTTGGAGAGATTCAAGGAGGGACTCCCCAACTACGTCACGGTTGAGCATCAGACTGCATGACGTCACACTACGCCACGATCCATCCACCCACGCAATTTGATAACGGGAAAGGAGTGGGTCCGGGGGGGGGGGGGGGGGCAGCTAGGGCAAGGCTACGAGAGACTGTTATATCGATTGCAACAGGATGGTCCTGCACTATTCAGATCCGACCCCACAACATCTGTGGCTCTCCGGCCCACCTTCACCTGCAAGGAAGGGGAGAGTAACACACTTTTAGCGACTTCGAGGAAATTGTGGCCGAGTACCGCCGAATGATTCAAATGCCAAAATTTTTCAAGGGTCAGCTGGGAGCACAACGATAATTCTTCCTGCTTTTCGTTCCGACCGTTTTGTCACCTGGGAGGCCGTCGACTATTTCAAAATTCGTCCAATCTTCGTGGTACGAGTCTCACGAAATCTTTGACACTTCTCCGCTGGATTAAAAAAAAATCGCAATTAAAAAAGTAAACATCTGCATACGCCAGATTTAAAAAAAATGGGCAGTTCCCACCTAACGCCCCCACATTCTTTCTGTCAGATAAGCTGGAGTCATGAAACACGGCAAACACAACGCCTCTGATTTCATATCCGATATGAAGAACAAATGGGTCCCCAAAAACCGCCACTGGACATGACCTGAGATAGTTCACCCACCTCTTATCCACACAACTCGCTTAAGATTCTTCTTAATGTTATCTACTCATCTCCTCGGCCTGAAAAATGGCAGCGTCCCAAGAAATTTTCATACCAAAATTCTTTATGCATTCTTGTGTCCCCAATCCTAGGCGAATTCCCAGGCTTGATGTATGAATGTCCAGTATATTAACTTATATATCAATTTATTTATTGACCTGAAGGAATAATTCCTGCGTTATTGTGCATCAAATTAACTTGGAACAGCATAAATTAGTACCTTATTCAGATTATTACTTTCCAGCACTTACTGATTCTCTTGTACACCCCTGATGACATATTCCGCCGACTCGAAAACCATCAGAGAAATGTTCGCTTTTCGATTTTACAATTAAAATCGCGAATGTTCTGAATATGTAGGTATAGAACACAAAAATCATAATTAATCAATTCGACGGTACAAATGTATCGACCTCTATGATGTTCAGATCGGTAATTAATAAACATTGCAGCTGGGAACTAATCAGAGACTTCACACACACGCTGTGCGTCGAGAAACGCACGTGACAGCGGCAACTGTTAATTAAAACGGTAACAAATAAAGTTAATTAAAAAATCATTTGCATTTGTGTGCTGTTGCGACCGGCAATTAACAACTAGTGGGGGGGGCATTAATAAATACGCTTTGCTGTGAACAAGGACCCAGTGTAACATTTAAGAAGTTGGGAAATGTACGCACTGCGCAAACAATTACGGTGGTCGCCCAGCATCTCTGACCTTTCCGTTCGTGAATAGCTCAAGTTCCGAGAGACCTGTCTGGGGCGGTATCCGTCGCTTGTGAGTGTGGGTGCGAACACGTCATCACGGAAAAGTCACCCTCCCCCCACTGGGGGTGGGGGGTCATACGCCCACGTGGTAGCGCGGCTGGTCGGGGATTCCCCAACCAGAAACACGCGAAGTGCCCTTTACCGTTGCAAGATTTTGACCAAAATTGAAATGTGCCAAATAAATTTTAGGAAATCTCCCCCCCCCCCCCCA